CCAAGCCTATGTTCTTAATTTACTTTTTTGCTTTTGCTTCATATTGCATTTTCCAGGTTGTTTCGGTGAGATAAAGGCTTGGGCTTTTTCAATTGCTAGCCAGAAGGACTGCATGCCAGGACAGGCCAGGGAAATGAAAGCTACTTTAATTTCTGTTGTTCTATTAGGTTTGTGATTTGAATAGAAACAGGAAGGTGTAAAAGCTCATGAAAAGCCTCTGTCCTAGAGAACTTAGTGGGAAAGTAAACGTTCTAAAGGAAGGTTAGCTTATGATCAACTTTGATAGAGTAAATCAGACTTTCTGTCAACTACTGACATCTCAAAGTCTGATAGACAGCTTAGGGTCAGTAAAATTAAACAGCTGACAAGCAGGAGAACCCAATGTGGGCAAACATTTTCCATGTAGCTAAATGATGCCAAGAAAATATAAAATGATCAGGAGATGGGCAGCTTCACCAACAATGTGAACGTGCTTTCACATGCCGAGAAACTCCCTGCAGCTAGCTCCCTGCAGCGGTGGATGCGAACAAAAGCACACCTATGGATCCCATACTCAGTAAGGAACAGAACACTTCTGGTTCCCAGAAGCCAGGTACCACTCTATGACCCCACCCTTTCCTACCTGGAGATGGGATGGTCCCCCAAAACAGATTATCCAGTCCCACCTGAGGGGTTCTGGCCCCTTGCCTTACCACATCATGCTCTTGTGACCGAAACAACATACATGCGAATCTGATCATGGAAATGCATTATTTTATCCTTCCACGGCATGCTTCTCCACAGGACACTATGTTCCTGAAATATACCAGTTACAGCGCCCCGTGTGACCGTTCCCGCAGTAAACACTACACAGCATCCCACTGCCGTTACACCACAGTGTAAATACATTCTTCTTCTGGTGGACATCGAGGTCTCCAGTTTCTACATGTCGTGTTGATGTAAACCTTCTCCTGCAAGCTTCCTACAGACACACACACACAGTGCTTTTACAGAGTTCTTCCTGTCCACAACTTGAACTACTAAGTCAAGGGGCACCTGTGTTTCCAACTTTACTGCATCTGGCTACACTGTTTCCCAAAGAGGTTACTACAATTCATACTCCCAGAAGAATTCTCACTGTATTCTATCTTTACTAGTCCTTGGTTAATTTCAAATCATTTCTTTTTTCCTAAATGAATGAGTGCAAAATGGTATCTCATTCCACCTTAACATGCAATTCCTTGATTACCAATTAAGTTGAATATTTTTCCTCTATTTATTGGCTACTTGGATTTTCTTCACTGTGAAATTCTTATTTCATTTCTTTATTTTTTCAACTAGGTCTTTTTCGTACTGATTTCTTCAGTGTGCTGAATTCAAATCCTTTGCCAATCATTTTTCCTTTTCATTATAGTGCCACTTGATGAATGTTAAGTTCTTAATTAGATGAGACATGAATGCATCAACTCTTCATTCTGGATTTGTGCTTTCTGCACCATGCTTAAAACATCCTTGTTCCAAGGCCATTGATATTCTTCTGTATTTGTTTTTAGAAGTATTAGAATCTTTTCATATTTATCTGAATTCATTAGTATTCGCTGCTGTACATGGTGTCTGACTTGATCCTTAAGAGGGAAACGTCATGTGAAGACAGAGGCAGAAACTGGAGCAATATGGCTACCAGCCAAGGAACTCAGATTGCCAGTAAACACCAGAAGCCAGATAAGACAAGGAAACATTCCTGCGTGGTGGCTTGTAGAGGGAGCCCAGAGCCTAGAAGCAGCAACACCTTGACTTTGGACTTCTAGATTCCACATTTGAGATGTAATTTTCTGATGTTTTCAGGCTCTAGTTTGTGGTATTTTGTGACTAAAGCCCTCGCAGACCAAGACGTCCTATGAAGCATGCCCTCATTACTTGCTGAAAATTCCATCATTTCTCCTATTACTTTGCAGTGTCAACTGTCATCGCTCCCCGCAGAGCGGGTGACAGCACAGATCCCAGACAGGTGGAGGTCTTCCCCTGCCCCACCTCACCTTGCACCACCTGTTCGCAGAGGTGGTCTGGATGCCTGGGGGTTAAGGCATCTCACTGGGGCACCTGACCCTATTGTCATTCCTGCTTTCTCTCTTCATAGAAATTTTAAAATCACCTTGTCAAGTTTCAGAAAGTGATTGTTTTTAATTGAAATGGTTTCAAATTTAATCACCAACTCATGGAGAATTGGCATCATATCGTTACTGAATCTTCTTACCCAGGATCACAACACAGTTCCACGTTTATCCCATTTTATTGTCCTTGGTTTATAATTTCTTTCCTGGAGAAATTCTTAGATTTGGTGCTGAGTTTCTTTTATTATCTGTTTTTACTGTAATGACACTTAAAGAAAAATCCTATTCTAAAATAGAATCATTTAAATAAAAAGATGAAACTTGACCGATCTTTAGAAAGTTTCTTAACACATACTCACCCAGTTACCTTAACACAGAGGCAGATACTTGATAACCTAGTAGTACCTAACACATCAGCACTCATGTGTCAGACACTGCCTGACATATGTAACCCCCCACACCATTGAGGTAAATCCTGTTACCCTCATAGTTGAGGCAACTGGCTTGAAGAGTAATATCCCAAGGAGGCAGGTAGCTCCGGAAACAGGGCACAGTATTTGGCTCCACTGCACAGTCTTGTAAAAACTAAGACAACTCACTTGTACTGTGACAGATGAGAAAAATAACATCTATCTTAACCTCAGGAACCTAAAAATCAAAATCCCTTTAGGTCCCCCAAATTCACTTGATACATTCGCCAAACAAAAACAGCACTAACACCACATTTATAGATTGAAGACCGTTTTACTTAATTTAGACAAAATACTGGATAGATGATAAACATTCAACAATCTCACGTCTAATAATTACACTTAAAAACCAACTAGATAATACAGTGAACTTAGAATGTCACCAAGCTAGTATTTGTCTGTTACAATGGTAATTACTCAATTAAATTAAAATAATTCTCAATGCTTAAACGCCAATTTTCAAGTTCATGACTCACTTTCAAGATTCAGTAAAGGACCTCGCCCAAGTCCTAAAGCTTCTAGGTTGATGATTATTACCGCTTCTATGGGCAAATCAAAGTTGACTAGTCTCACGACTTTGGTGATTACATTACTCTACATAATTTTTTTCTTTGTTTATAGTCACAGAGTCAGCATATTTATAGTACCAATAATCTTCTGACTGCAATACCAAAGAATCTTTTTCAGCGTTGGTGGTTAAAACATAGCCCACCTTGTACCGTCAAATAATCTGTGAATGGTATCTATTTACTGAATTACATTTGCTTCCTTAGTACAATGCTACAAATATTTTTAAAATTTCTACCAAGCATTGAACAAAACAGACAAAAGACTCAGACAATTCTCCCTATGAGAACAAACTAACCAATTTTTTTAAAATGAGGGCTCAGCACACTTCTGTGTGATCCAGGCATGGCCATAATAGCTGACCAGCTACTAATTCACATCTGAAATTAACATCGGACAAAATCAATGCTGGGTGAAGTGTCCTTTGGTGTTTTGCTACAGGTTTGTATAATGCTTTCAATACAGAAAAACTGAACAGTGCTGTTTAGTAAGATAAAAATGCATCGGTACTTTCAAAGTAACACCTTTAAAGTCTTCTTAATATCAATTTCACTGGCTGAATGAAAACAAAAATTATAAAGCAGGTACTTTTTCTATGCCTGTTGTAGTGAACTGTTGGTATTCTTTAAAGAAAAAAACAAAACAGCCAGTAATTGGCAACTTATTAAAAACAGGAAAAGCAGCAGCAGTGCAGCCGGCCCCGCCAGAGCGGTAACAGAGAAGAGCTTCTGGACGGCGGCAGGCAGCTCTGAGCGAAGCAAGTGACTGCTGTCACAGGAGCATCGCCGCCACCTGGCTGGTTACACGTGTTGTCTTCTCAGAGACAGCGAGTTCACAAGCAAAGGCGCCAGGATTAAAACCCAAGTTCCACAAATTGTCTTGTAACATAAAATGTAGTTTCGCCAGTCACTTAGTAGTGTTTTTTGAATACAGTGGGACATAAGGGTCAGAGGGGCAGGTCAACAATCAAGAAAATGTACACTGTTTGGTCTATGCTGATTCCAGGGGAAACTGGCAGTGGATAAATCTGGAGTGGTTAGCCCTGGACACTGACCACAGCATCCCCCAAAAGAGAATTGAACCCGCAAGCCTAGTCTACCCTAATGGTCCATGAATAAACAGTAGACTCGTAAGGTTCATAAGTACGGGAAACGTTCCTGGCTCCCATACCTCCTTTTCTTAGACTAAAGAAACCACAGAGTTGAGACACCGTACAGATAGTTTCTAAAATATAAAAAAACACAATGGTCTTATCCTTTAAAGTTTTAAAGATATTTGACAACATACAGAATATTATTTTGGTCAGAACTCACCATCATAAAATTCTTACTCTTTTCTTTCTGATTCCCTTTCTTTTACTAGGGAAGGAGTAGAGCACGATGCTATTTTGGGGGAAAGAGGACAGGACGGAAACTGCAGAAGGTAAAAATAAAATCAGATGGACACATAAAGGGCAAGAGGAGATCAGCTAGAGGTGAGGTAGAGGCTGGTCCCCACCCTGCAACTAACAGCCTTTCTGGATTCTAGATCCCTGCACCTTCAGAAAGACAGGGCCAGAGTTTTCAGCGATTTTTACCTTCTCAGCTGCACCTGCCACGTGGCAAGAAATGAAAACAAAACATAACAAAATCCCAGAAGCAGAAGGCCTCACCACCTGAGAGGGTTCTGACAACTGAACCTAGATCTATATAAAGAAACTTTTAAGGTATTGGGCCTCAAAATTTCATCTTAAATACAGAGCTTGTTATAACTGTAAGGATTTTCCCTACGTGGCATTTTTCAAAGCAAAATCATTAAAGAGTTTGCTGGGCTATCTTCCCAGTTCTTCTATTTTACCACACCCTTGTACATTTTTGCATTCTTAACGGCATACCTGGAAGAGATGAAAGGAGAAGCAAAGAGTATTTTCATGAAGCTGACTTCTGTTATGGAAGGGCAAGTGGCAAGGCATGGACTGAAGCGAAGAGGAAGCTGGGTCATAGGGCCAGAAGCAATCCTGATGGGAGTCCACTGAGGTGAGCAGGCCCACAGAGGGGAAGACCGGGCAGGCTGTGACATGTGAGGGCTTTGTGATGCACGAGATGTCCTGACACCTGGTGGGAAGCATCGATGGCCTAAGACCAAAATGTGTTTTCTTTTGAGCTGTTAGTGGAATGTGTTAAACAACACCGTGAACACGGAAGTAGCGCTCTCTAGCGCGCGAGACAGGCCATCCTCCAGCCAGTGGCCAGTACTTTCTCATGTGATGAGTCAGCAGCAAAGCTGCGAAGCCCATTCAGCACAGATCTTGCCCTCATCACAGTCCAAGGCACCAGGCCTGCTGTCCTCACTAAATTAAAAATTGTGTCGCATCAAAAGATTAGTGAGGGCCTCCCTGATGGCGCAAGGGGTTAAGACGCAACCTATGAAGCTGTCTGCAGCTTCTGCAGCTGAGTTCGATCCCCGGCCAGGGAGTTGCCCACATGGTGCAGCAGACCTCTCCTGACTTGCCCACTGCTCCCCTCAGCAGTGTATTTCAGTTGATCTGCCTGTTCTGTTCCCCCCTCTGTCTTTGGTGAATCCTCTCACCCCCCAAAACTCTGGCCTGTACCCCAGTTCTTGTTTGCATAAATAAATAAATCTTTAAAAAAAAAAGATAAGTGAAAATCTGGGCAAGGAAAGAGGTGAGCAAGAAAAGGTGGAGCGCAGAGGAGATGGAGTCAACACTGGGCAGCAATGAGGGCTGAGACACGCAGAGGTACAGACTTTCAGAGGCTCATGGGGGGAGCAGTGAGGTGCTCCAGTCAGCCATTCCTTTTCCTACAATTCTACGGATGCTCCCCACCCCCATTTCCCAGAGCCACAGGCACCAGCGAAGTGGAGGGAACATTTCAGTGGTCACAAAGCAACAAGGGTGCCCTAACACTGTGGGCTGCGGTGCTCTAAACGGAGGCACAAGACACAAATGAGATTAATCTTTAAGACAAGGGCTGTCTCCTTATGAGAGAGGCTCCCTCTAGCTCACTTATCAAGCATTTCTCCCACCCCACAGGAGTTTATATATACACACAGGTGGTCATGTATTTACATTCTTTCATTGAGTGCAGGAAAATTATAATCTATTTGCAATTATAATACCCTAAAAGTAAGTTATTTGATTCTTTGAAATGTGAAAGGTAACAAGTGGAAACATTCTTGTTAAAACTTATAATAAAAAGTTGGTCATTTGCAAAATAAGTCTGCCAGAGGCAAAAAATAAAAACAAAAAAACAAAAAATAAAACCCAGCCATTTAGAGGTCTTAAAAGCCTATTCTGTTTTTTTTTTTTTTTTAAATAGAGGCATGCTTTATTTATTTGTTTGTTTATACATGCACTGGGTACAGTCAGAAGCACGGGAGGGTGAGAGAATTCACCAGAGACAGAGCAGGGGGCAGAACAGGCAGGAGGGCCGAAGTACACTGCTGAGGGGAGCAGCGGGCGGCAGGAGAGGTCTGCGCGCCATATGGGACCCTCCTCCGGTGGCCGGGGAGCAGCCGGGGATCGAACCGGCGCTGCAGAGGCCGCGGGCAGCTTCGCAACCCAGCGCTCAACCGCTGCGCCACCGGGGAGGCCCCTATTCTGGTTAATAAACACTTGTGTAGAAATAAATCTGGAATTAAGCCAGTGTGTCATATTCCATATTGCTCGTGTCCCAGCTGCACGTGTCTAAGAATTTCAGACAAATGTTTCCCCTTTATCTAGTTTTTCACACATCACTCTAGCAGACTAACAAATACACCAAGCAAAGCTTCATGACAGAAAGGTAACCAAATGCCTTAAATGTTTCTCAAGTGTAAGGTGCAGAAATGTGCACAATTACAAGATTACTTATGGAAGTAGAAAATAATGCCCTCAACCACCAGACCGCTGAGCACTTGCTACGGGCCACACATGGGTGAACCCCCTCTGCTGGATGGGGACAATCTACAGGGCCAGGAACCCAGCCACAGCAAAGGGGAACTTCTAAGCTCTCACAGCTGCTGGCATGACAGGGATGTGAACTTAGGGCTCAAGCTCCATCACCATATTCCACTGACTCAGAGGAGGGGCTAAAGAAATCAATGGCACCGGCAAAAAACAGCACACAGCCACTGCAAGGGCCGGGGACAAGGTGCCTTCTGGGGACTGCAATTCCTAGGACGATCGTGCATGTGGCACCTTGCACTCGCACTCACTCATCACACACCGCACACCCACTCTACAACACATCAAAATGGCCTTCCATGAAGTTGGATTGCGGGTGGGTTAGATTACAATAATTTTAGGTGAGAATATTACAAAATTACTTAATTTTAATTTTTTTAAGTTTTGAAACAATCTCAAACTCACAGAAAAGTTGCAGGTATGATACAAAAAACTTTTTCACAGAACCAATGACAATAAATTGTCAATCTCCTGTCATCACCCCAAGTATTTTCATCTGTTTTCCTTAAAAGAATTTTTTCTGTGAAACTACAACTCCCAAAATCAGAAAATTAATCATCGCTACCACTGAATCCTCTGGCCCCAGTCAAGTCTCAGCACCCGCCCCAGCCAAAAGGCTGTAGGTCAGGGTCATGTGTGGGACCAGCTGACACGCCTATTATCTCCTTCAGTCTTGCTTTGACTTCCATGACCTTGAAACTTTTGAAGGTGATTGCAGGCCAGTTAATTTGCAGACTGCCCCTCAAATTGGGCTCATGTGATGTTTCCTTGTGATCAAATTTAGGTCATGCACCTTAGTAGGACTATCACTGAAAAGAGGCCATGTTTTCATTGCATCCAATTGGGTGACATGATTTCAATTTGCCCCTCTAAAATTCTCCTATGAAACTGCAACTCCCATCACTGCTGGTAATGCTCATGCAGATGGCCTAGTCACCATGGTGCCTGCCAGTTTCCTTCACTACAATAAAGTTCCTCCTTCCCCTTTGTATTTGACAGGTGTTCTGTTGGGTGGTATTTCTAAACTTAAATAAGCTACCCCTGTACTCTGATTTCATTCATGAGTCCATGCAGACTGTGAATAGGTGAAGTAGTGTGAGAACCCTCAGTTTTCTCTTTCATTCAACAGGTTTTAATCTATGACCATAATGTGATGATCAAATTATCCCACATTTGGTAGGGGAGCCCTTCAAACTCTATTCTGTGTCCTTATGAAATGTCTCCCTTTTTCTCTGAAGACTTCTTTGCTTTCTAGCACAAGATACTCCACGTTCATTTAAAATTTTTCTGCCCAAAATCCTATAATCAATCAATCATTTCTCCAAAAATATGGGGGCTCCTTTTAGAGGGAAATGGTATTTAGAAGCCAAGATCTGGGCATGCACATGCTCAGGGCTACTGGGGTACTGCTATCCCCAAGCCCTAACACCCTCTCCATGGACAGAGCTAAGAAATACACAGGTGTTGTAAACACACTCATGAACCCATGAATTCACGCCAACACTTCCAATTTGTAGCTAACATCACAGGGTTCATCTAGTTTCCCCCCTGTAGTATTTGTAACTCCCTTCTCCCATGGTGCCTGCCAATTTAATCCCTCCTTCCATATTAACCATCTGCCAGCGCTACCCCACCCAAGCCCCACACGGATGCCCCACTCACCTCTCTGGGCTGACACACATCAGACAACCCCCACCACCACCAACGCCCCCGCGAAGGCTCCCTCTTCCTACTTGAGTCTTGATGTCCCTGGCCTGGTGACCCGCCTTCTCTACCTGATAGGTCTTAGGACTGACTAGTTCAGGACGAGAATGGTCCTTTAAAAAATTACATTAAAAAAAAAAGTTTTAAAAGAATATCCATTAATTGCAATTGGTGATAATTCACACAGCCAAGCTAAAGTTCACTTTTGCATCATCTATGAAGAACAGGTTTGCTAAGTAAATTAATAGTGTAAACAAGCTTGTAACCCAGATGTTTAACCTACTTAAGAAAACTAATTGTTTTCAAGCACTTTAAAATCACTGGGCATGCACTTGTCTTTAATTATTGTCTAATTACAAATGATTTCTATTTTCTTCATTATAGCTTTGATAAGCCTTCTAGTTGATTATGCTTTAAGGATCACCACTTAAAACTCCATACAGTTAAGAAGACCTTTAAAAAGGTCTCTTTATTAATCAATCTGGCTTTTCAATGAATCATTTGAAGTCAAGTTTTTAATCACTCAATGATTCCCTTAGTTAAATCTCTCATGCTGCTCAGAGAGAAAAATGTCCTCAATGGTCACCCAGAGCTAGCCTCAAAGACCTCCTGATCTGCGCTGGCCCCGGCACTATGAGTGCAGGGCCTGGCATCCCTAGGAAGTCATCAGCTCCCATCCTTTGAGTCCTTTTTTTATTAAGACACTCCAATTGACAAAACAGGGATTCACCCAAACAATTAACAAACTGGTCTGCACTGCACTTAAAAAGGCTTGAAGAGAGTCACAGCACCTAGTCCTCACGACCTTGTTTAAGAGCCTCAGACCGGCTCTCCGTCTTTCTTAGAAGCTCAACCATTCCCCACATCAGGTTGCCGTGAGCCTGAATGAGGTCATGGGAAGTACCTGCTTTATAATAGGCACTTAATGAATACGAGTTCATGTCCTTTTCCCCCAAAGTCTCATGGAAAAACTCGATATGACACCAGAGTGGTGGTTTGTGATTTGGCCACACAAGACCTCAGAGAGAACCAATGGCAGAATATGGATCAGAACCGTGAACTGAAACCATCTGCCCTGTCACTGCACCTGATGGAAATAAAGGGAACTTGAAAAAACACCAACCGTGTCCCATGACCTAGAAATGAGCAAACAACTTGTTCTTGACAAAGCAAGTACCAGCAGCATTTCAGGGTGGGCAAGAAATGAGGAATGAGAAGGCTAGATTTTCTGCTCTGACTTCCAAGTAAGTGCAGGTGCCAATATGTCCTGGAGACCCCAATTAATCCTGCCCTGAGACTCTGGGTACACTGATGGCACCATCTGCAAAGAGGTGATCTGGGGCTTTGCCTAACCAGCTCTCCAAGTACCAGTGACTCAAGAGCAGTACTTATGATCTGACAAAAGAAGATCATGCTACTAAAACTTCATTAGAGGTAAGCAATTTCAAAAACCAGAGATGTTAACGATGTGATGCATTATGGGCCATGCTAGCAGTGTTTAAAAACAAAAAAAGACAAAGACAAAAATGAAATTGCTAGTCCCTAAGTAAAACAACGACATTCCAGCAGGAAAGACATTTCTCCCCGCCCACCACTCACAGACACAGGTGCGTGCATGCGCACGCACACACACACATACACACGTCCTCAACAGAAAATATCAGGATTAGGAGTGAACCTAAAAATTGACAGAAAGTAAATGCCAGGTTATCTCTTTGCTCTTATTTTCAATATCTGGGGTACCTGTGCTTTGGGGGCATGTATAATTATGTGGGTGCCCTGTTTCTTTTAAAGCCACACAAGTCTGTTTACACTGAAGAGAAGGAGATGAGTGACATCCCCTTCGAGCTGTCAGGAGCAGAGCCAGGCAGTAAAGCACACAAATGAAACCCCGCCGACACACCTGGTTGTCGCTGCAAAGAATTCTTTCTTCATCCGGGAGCATAAAGGTGTCTACAAGTTTCTGTGCTAAGTTTCTGTGCTTACAAATCACCTCCAAGCAAAGGTCAAAGAGTGTCTTCCCAGGTCTGCAAAGCGCTGGCTTCCGAGTGGAATGTCACAGGCCTCAGACCCAGGTGGAGGGGAAGGGCCAGGGACTAAACCCCTCGCCCACAGAAACCCAACTTCAGGAGCCCACGTGACCCAACCCCGGCGTCTCTGCAGGCACAGGCAGTGCAGACAGAATGCCCTCCCTCCGCACCTGTGTCAGCCAGGCCTCCCTGCCCCTCTCCATCCCTCCAGCTGGTAGCTCTGGTTTGCAGAGGGCAGGAGAGGGGAGAAGGTCTGCAGTCCAGGGCCCACCCAGGCTGACTGGCATTTCAAGTTCTCTCTACTTGTGAAATACTCTTTTGTTTTCTATGAAAGGTCATTCAGGTCCAGCAAAGCAGATGGGGAAAACTCAGAGTTCTATATATCGTATACTCTTGGCTAAAATATATTTTTAAATGGGGAGGGGGCAGTTCACAGGCCCCAATACTT